TATTGCTTGCAGAAATCTCTACAAATATTCCCTTTCCTGTGTGCACATCCTTTTGCAATGTGACTTTGCAGTCCCTCCTATTTAATTGTGGAGTCTATTTCCACACCCTTGAAGCCAGGCTAGATTTGTGATTTGCTTTGGCCAATACAATGCAATGGAAGTGACATTGTGTCATTTCCAAGCCTAGGCCTCCAGAGGCCTTGCATACCTCCACTCAACCTTCTGGGATCCTGCCCAACCATCATATGTGAGCCAGAGTTAGCCTTCTGGAGGGTAGGAGCCCTTTTGGAGCAGAGACAAACTTTCTTAGCTGAGGTCATCTTAGACCAGCCAACTTCCAGCCAAGCAAATAGTTAACTACAGGTACATGGGTAGACTCACTTGAGGCCACAAAAACTGCCTAGCTGAACTCAGCCCAAGTTACCGACCCATGGAATCAAGTACTGGATAAATGCTTATTGTTTGAAGATGCTATGTTATGAGGCAGTGGTTTGTGATATATCAAAACTAACTAATACAATTTCCCATGCAGCTAGATGTATCTATGTAACTAAGTTTTGTTGGAAGACATGTAAGCGAAAATGCTGTGCATGATTCGGGGACAGGGGGCATGTGGATTTCTTTACAGGGAGGAGGCCTTCTCTTCTTCAATCTTTCTTCCTTCCTAATGACTAGAATGAGAATGTAATAGTTGGAGCTCCAGCAGCCATTCTGGGTCAGGAAGAGGGTTTGGGAAGGAACCCATGACAGAACAAAACACTAGGAGGATCTTGTTCCTCTGAAACCGTAGATTACCTTTCCAATCTTATTCTGACTACTTCTAAATTTATTAAGCAAAAGAAATAAATAAACTTTTATATTGTTTAGGCCCTGGTGTTTTGAGTTTTACAGTTAATCATAGCTGAACCTAATCCACAAAAATACAAATGGTCAGGATTTAGATAAGCAGGGGGATAAAGAAGAGTACTCAGGTTAGAGGGAACTTGTCAAGGGAATATCACGGATAATGTTGCAGAAAAAGACAAAGTGTGGGTGGTGGGTGAGCAACAGTGAAAAGTGGCATGGTATTACCTAAGGGGAGCAATGAATGATAGAACTAGGAATCATTTGGGGCCAGCTTTTTCAAGGCCATGAAGAAATTTGGAGAATATGATAAAACAGATGTCTGAAGGCTTATAAAGATCAGAGTAAGGAAGTCTTTTTTCTGCATTCATTGATTCATTTCCTCTGGGAAGTTTATGTTCCAGTGAGGGAGACAAATTAACAAAATAATAGGATAATTATAGATTGTGATTAATGGACTGTGTGATATGGTGGAGACTGTGGGATAGAGGCAAATACTTTAGATAGAGTGGTCAGAGAAAGATCGTGCCAGGCACTGTGCTGAAGTCTAGGGACACAGGGAGAAATAACACACAGTTCCTGTCATTGAAAAGATCATAGTCTAGAGTAGGGGTAGGGTTAACTGGGAACAATTTCCTAGAGGAGGTGGGAGAGAGCAAAGGAAGTAATTTAGTCTTCCCATCTGTATCAGTCAGATATGGCTGCGATAAAGCTGTGGAACATGCATGTCCCCAGTCCTTGCTTACAGCAAGAATGATTTTTGTCACACAGGTCTGCAAGTAGGCTGTGATTCTGTTGGACTCTGTTGGATTAGTTTGCTTGATTCCAGGCTATGGGTTGGCCCAGGTCTGCTGTATATATCTCCTCATCTTGGGACCACTGGCTACCCAGGATTTGATCTTCTCAGGGTGGATGTCAGAAGTGTAATAGATCAAGCGGAATCACAGAGGTGTATGTAAAGCCTCTACTTCTGTTACATCCGCTCACACTGCTGACCCTAGCAAGTCACATGATCAAGACTGACATCCATGGGTCAGAAGGAACACTCCCCCCACAGTGAGAAAATTTCAAAGGTACAACGGTGTTTAATGCTGTAGTGGAGGGAATGAAGATTTGGGAACACTCATTCAATCTTTCATACCATCGAAGGAAATGAGGTACTTCTCCATTTCTTCAGAACTCTCATGTATGTCTTAATAGTTTTCCTACTTTTTTCAAGAAATATTTTCTATTTCTCATGAGATTTATGGCAATGCACCATATTTCTTTTTGTTTAAAATTTTACTTAAAGGGGCACCTGCGTGACTCAGGCAGTTAAGCATCTGACTCTTGGTTTTGGCTCAGGTCATGATCTCATGGTCATGAGATCAAGCCCCATGTTGAGCTCCATGCTCAGCGCAGAATCTGCTTGAGATTCTCTCTCTCTTCCCATGCCCCTCCCCCTAAGCTCATGCGTGCTCTCTCTCTCTCTCAAAAAAATAATATTTTACTTAAAAAATCACATATGGTAATTTTGTGGTAAAAGCTTCAAAAAATAATACTGACAGATATAACAGTGAACATAAAGTTGGCCCTTCCAATGAGGAAAATCCTGGGTTTCTTTTTGGAGGTATTCTGTGTGTGCACAGCCAAATTCTTTAAAATTAACTTTTTATTTTAATTCCAGTAGAGTTAAAACACAGAACCAAATATTTTCTGACATTAAAAAAAATACAAAATGGCATCCTCCTACACTTGTTCTGCTGCATCTCCCCTCCCCTTTTTTCCTACTTCACCATGTATCTTAGAGGTAGTGCTATTTCAGTTCTGCTAGTCCCATTTCATTGTCTTTAATGGCTGCATTGTTTTCCACTGTGAGGCTGTGCTGTAATTTATTTAATCAGAGCCTTATTGAAAGACATTTGGATTGTGTCCAATCTTTTGCCACTATAACCAAGGCTGCATTAAGTATCCTGGAACATCTATCTTCATGCACACGTATGAGTGTATCAGTAGGTTAAATCTCTAAACAGAAATTGCTAGATCAAGGGATATGCATCTTCACGTTTGATAGATATTGACTCTCTGTTTCTCAAAAGAAAGAATGATTCCTTCCAGCATGTCTACAAATCTTTCTCTGTTCCTTTTGTCTTCTTCTGATTCTTGCCCCATGGTATTGTTCGGGACTGAACCAATGGAATAAAGTAGCTCAAAACGTATTCCTGTAGGAACTCTGGGGAAACTTTGAGTGGTATCCTTTAAATCTTGGCAAATTTTGAAGATGGGAAGAACCTGGCACTACTGTTGTTACCCAGATCATCCTTTTAATGAGAGCACTGGAGGAACATCGAATGTGTATTCACAAACATGTTTACTGAAGAACTCCATGCTGCAAATGGAATGATTTATATCCCTGGGAGATCCCAGTAAAAAATGTGCACAGTACCCTTTAATTTGATCTGCTTTCCCTCTTGCACCTAAATATTTAGGGCAAACAGAAAATAGTCCTGATTTACAATCTCTATAAAATTTTTAAACAACCTAATAGGACATTTGATCATGAAATTGCCTGAAATAATGTTGGTAGTAGTCGGCCATATTTCTCTGAAATGGCCTGTAACTTCAGTGCAAACCCCCAAACATGGGTTTTTCCCCCCTGCTAATAACAGTCTTATTAATAAAAGAGTGATTTTCTTTCCAGATCCTCGGCAGCTGTGTTCCGGTGCCTTTGTTCAATAAAAGTAGAGATAATAACTGTCTCTAAAAAGAAAATGTGCCAAGGTCCTCAGGAGAAGTGGTGAAAACAAGTCTCTTATTAAATCATATCAAATTGTGTTTCTTGTCTACTTTTTTCATTTTGTAAGTCACAGTCATATCTGCTAGTTTTGGTAAACCCTGCCTCACATTTGTCAAAAGAAAACCACTTGGAGGCTTGGTATTCTTGAAGTTAAATGCTGCGTGATCAATCAGTGTGATAAATTTCCCACAATTAACTGTCATGATGACATTTCTGAGTCTGTTTCTCTATTTACCCCTGCTGATATCTTTTGAGATTGGTTAACTTCTGAATATGTTCTCAGATGTTCAATGGATGCCTAGAAAAAAAGAGTAGCAGGAAAGTGTAGTCAATAGGTCGATAGGTGGGGTTTTTACCTGTGCACAGCTTCATCACCCCTCTTAGAGTAAAAGCATCTTTATTTTCCTTGAGGGCAGGTGGCTCACATGGGCTAACTCTCTTCCTAGTCTCGGGGTGGGCCTGCCCAATCAAAACATCCTTGCTCAAGGTGGACCAATCAGAGCCAGGGAGAATCGTGGGACTAGTGGAAATGAGAACTTTCTTCATTGGCATTCTTTTTTTTTTTTTTTAAGATTTTATTTATTTATTTGACAAAGAGAGAGACAGCGAGAGAGGGAACACAAGCAGGGGGAGTGGGAGAGGGAGAAGCGGGC